AGGTGGGTGTTCCTTGAAGGTCTGATGGGAAAAGGAAAGAAGGAAGAAAGAGGTAAAAATTAAGGCTCCTTTAGAAATAAAAGATCACCAGGGAATTTAAGGACACACGGAACCCTTCCCCACAGAAAGAAATTTCTCATTAATTAAAAACAAACAAACCTGCATCTTACTATAGTGAGGGAAAATTGAAATCTTGAATTAAGAAACCCAGTGGGTGAGTCACCTTGGTCCTTCACCCCTTCCCACCTACACTTGCTCACCCAGGAAAATATAATGCATTTTTGAAAAACATAAAACAAAAGAAAGCTTCAAAGAGATGAAAATGAAAAATGATGGTAAATATTGACTTCTTTCCCAAGAAAACCTATCAGAAACCAGAGGAAAAGCAAAATTCAGTATTCAGTCAGTTCAGTTCAGTTGCTCAGTCGTGTCCGACTCTTTGTGACCCCATGGACTGCAGCACGCCAGGCCTCCCTGTCCATCACCAACTCCCGGAGTTTACTCAAACTCATGTCCATTGAGTCAGTGATGCCTTCCAGCCATCTCATCCTCTGTTGTCCCCTTCTCCTCCTGCCTTCAACCTTTCCCAGCATCAGGGTCTATTCCAATGAGTCAGTTCTTTGCATGAGGTGGCCAAAGTATTGGAGTTTCAACTTCACCATCAGTCTTTCCAATGAATATTTAGGACTGATTTCCTTTAGAATGGACTAGTTGGATCTCCCTGCAGTTCTAGGGACTCTCAAGAGTCTTCTCCAGCACCACAGTCAAAAGCATCAATTCTTCTGTGCTCAGCTTTCTTTATGGTCCAACTCTCACATCCACACATGACTACTGGAAAAACCATAGCCTTGACCAGACGGACCTTTGTTGGCAAAGTAATGTCTCTGCTTTTTAATATGCTGTCTAGGTTGATCATAACTTTTCTTTCAAGGAGCAAGCATCTTTTAATTTCATGGCTGCAGTCACCATCTGCAGTGATTTTGGAACCAAAAAAAAAATAAAGTCTGTCACTGTTTTCACTGTTTCCCCATAACTCAATATTACTTGACAATAAAAAAGAAGGACGCACTGACATATGCTACAATATGGGCAAATATTTAAAAATTTATTCTGCATGAGAGAAAGACATAAAAGGCCATCTAAATTATCTAATTTTATTTCTATGAAATGTCCAGAATGGGCAGATCCATATGTTCTGGAATTGGATAGTAACAATGATTGTACAACTTCGTGAATATGCTAACACTCACTAGATTCTACATTTCAATGTGTGGATTTTATGGCATGTGAATTATATCTCAGTAAGTGTGAAAGTCGCTCAGTCATGTCCGTCTCTTTGCAATTCCATGAACTATACAGTCCACAGAATTCTCCAGGCCAGAATATTGGAGTGGGTAACCTTTCCTTTCTCCAGGGGATCTTCCCAACCCAGGGACTGAACCCAGGTCTCCCGCATTACAGGCAGATTCTTTACCAGCTGAACCACCAGAGAAGCCCTATGTTTCAGTAAAGCTGCTATTTAAAAAGTTGTCATATACCGGCAGGGAGCTCAAATCTGGTGCTCTATGAGAACCTAGAGAGGTGGGATGGGGTGGGAGGTGGGAGGGAGGTTCAAGAGGGAGTGGACATATGTACACCTGTGGCAGAATTGTTTCCCATCATTCAGGAGTTGTCCGGTATCTTAGAAGCTCTTGGACAAGGAACTGGGGAAAAAGAGAAAATATAACCAAAGATGCTTCTACCGCCCCTGTCACTCAGGCAACTGTGAGGGTTTAAGGAGCTCTGGGTCAGGAATGTGAGGTGGGGATGAGAATAGCCACCCAGGAGAATAGCCCACCCTGAAATATACCACTTTGGCAAGTGGGTTGTTTTGAGCTGAAGGCAATCCAGACCCAGCTGACTCAAGGAGATCTGGGACTTCTTCCGGAACTGACTCAAATAATCTAGATAGAGGACCTGGCCCAGAAAGAGAGCTATTATCAGAGATGATTTTTTAAAATATATATATATATTTATTTGGCTTCAACAGGTCTCAGTTGCCACTTGCATGATCTTTAGTTGCAGCATGTGGGATCTAGTTCCCCGACCAGGGTTGGAACCTGGGCCGCCTGAATTGGGAGCCTGGGGTCTTAGTCACTGGCCCATGAACGAAGTTCCCCAGAAATGATTTTTTTTTTTTAATCTCAAAAACTTACCTGTGTGGCAGAGCAAACATTTAATTCCCACATCTCTGCTCTTATCTTCCTGTGATTCACCATCCTGCCCACGGAGGTCCCTGCCCCTATTCCATTCCTTTTTGACATATAAGCCTCAACTGCCTTTTGGTATTGTATTTTTAATGAGACTCCTGTGTAGACAAAATTAAAATTGTTTTTCTCCTGTTCATCTGACCTCTGTCAATGATTATTGTATTAGCCAAACAACCTAGAAAAGGAAAAAATATTTCCACCTCTGCAAAGACCAAATGTATATTTCTTTTATTAAAGTATCACAAAGGCACCATGCAAATAAATTTTAAAACCTAGATGAAGTGGATAATTTCTTGGGAAAATGCAATTTACCCAAATTGATTTCAATAGAGAAGCTATTAAACAGACTAATTTCCATGAAAGGAATACAGGAGGTCATCAAACAACTGCACCATTAAGAAAAACTCACCAAGCCCAGATGGTTTCAAAGGTGCTTTCTATTGAAACATGAAAGACCAATATCAAACCAGTTTTTTTCAGGACTTAAAAACAATGACTTTCAAATTATTTTTATGAAGCAATATAATATTAATACTAAATGTGCAAAAGAGATCATTAAAAAGAGGAAACTGTAGACTATTCTCACAAACATCTAGGAAAAATCCTAAATGGTAGCAGAGACAATTTAATACAGTAAATCCCGTATATAAGAACCTTCATGTTGCAAACTTTCAAAGACACGACCGTGTCTGTGTATGTCAGCTGTTGTTCTGTACTACTGTACTTTTCAAGGTAGTGTCCTGTAAGATTAAAAATGCTTTCTTCATTTTTTTGTGTTTGTTTTTTATGTATTACTTGTGTGAAAAGTGTTATAAACCTCTTACAGCACAGTCCTATATCGCCAATTGTGTTAGCTGGATACCTAAGCCAACTTTGTTGGACTTGGGAAGAAATCGAACTTACAGATGAGTGCTCCGAAGGGAACTCGTTCTTATGCAGAGGACTTTCTGTACCGTGTTAAGAAAATAACACATTATGATCAAGTGAGATTTACTTTAAGAATACATGTGAAGTGAAAGTCGCTCAGTTGTCTCCGACTCTTTGCAACCCCATCGACTATACAGTCCGTGGAATTCTCCAGGCCAGAATATGGGAGTGGGTAGCCTTTCCCTTCTCCGGGGATCTTCCCAACCCAGGGTTCGAACCCAGGTCTCCTGCGTGGAATACATACATATTCAATATGCTAAGAATACATACATGGTTTAATATTAGCACATTGAGTAATATAATTCACCATATTAATTCATATAGGAAAATGTTGTTTGTATCTGTGGATGAATATAGATCTTCAACACAATCCAACAGCCATTCCTTATACAAACACACAATAAAATAATAATGGGTAGACACTTCTTCACCATGATGTGTGTTTGAGTGTTTATGCCATTACCTTACCAGGTGTATCATTACACATTGGTCCTAAAGCCCCATGCTATTTTGGTCAAACAATAGAGGCTTTTCCATCATGGCAGGATGTCCTACATCTCTGTGACATGTCCTACCACTGTGATATGATGCTGTATTGAAAGGATTATCCAATTCAAATGGGATTAAAAAAAAATTCCTGACAAGTTGAACCATGTGAAATTAAAAAAAATATTAATGTAAAAAAATGCCACAAGTGATAAATTATGAGAAAACATTTACAGTATACTTCATAGACACTGGACTAATCACTCTAAGAATTCTTAGAAATTGAGGAGAATAAAAGATCTGCACATTGATAGAAAAAATGAGCAAGTAATGAACAGGCAATTCATTGAAAAATAGATAAAAGTGACTGAATCTTGCAGAGATGTTCAGCTTTACTGTAAAAAGAAGAATGCAAATTAAACCCACAATGAGATATCATTTCTCACCTATCAATTAGGCAAAAATTCAAAGACTTAACAGCAGGCTGCTGGCACGGCTCTGGAGGACGGGCACTCCCACATGATGTTTGCAGGTGCGTAAAATGGGATGATAGAGTTCCCATGGATGGGAAACAGCAAGCAAACCATCAGGTCCATGTAACCTTTGACCAGCATCCTCCGGGCTCCCTTCACCACCTGCCCCACCCCCGAGTCTTTGGAACCCGCCCCCTCCCCCTTTCCCTTGTACTTTAGAGAAAGTGTCATCTACCCCAGACATGGGCGACCCAACCAGGTAGGAAGAGAGGGGTGGGCAGAGGGCCTGGCTCTGACCTTGCTGGGCCTGCCCAAATCTCCCCACTTCCCTCCATCCCACCTGCCCTGCCACCATCCCCCAGAGGTCACGGATTTATGGACCAGACCTCACCTGGACTTGGGGGTCCCAGGCCCCCACGACCACCATGCTGGCCCCTCAGCTCAGACAGGCTCAGAACAAGGTGCCTCCCCTGGCTGACCTGAGAGGGGGTTCCCATCCAAGTGCACCTCCCGCCACGCTCTGCAAACCCGCGTGTCCCCGACAGGGGTCTCCTGGGGACCTCCTATGTCTATCGACCATGGAGAGAAAGGACACAGCGCCACAGACATCTCAGTCATCCTTATCCTCCCCTTTGAAAAAATGAACCAGGTGAGCGGCAGGGTTCTATCTCTGACGGTCTGTGGCTCTTTTTTGGGGGGAGGATGAGGTGGAAGTGCGAGTGGGCAGGGGTGGGGGCGGCGGGGGGACAGGGGTGGAGGGCTCGGGGGTGGCGATGGGGGTGCCCTGTCTCTTGTTCTGAGAATCGAGCCGGAGTCTTGCTTTCTAAGCCCAAAGCACCCGTTATCCTCGCGTCCCCTTGGTGGCCTAAGCTGATTGAAGGTGGCATGGCGGCGTTGGCTTCTCCACGATCTCCGTTTGCAGCGGCTCTTGACTACACTTTGCCCTCTGCCCTTTGCTCACAACAGCCATTGCCCGCGGTGCCAGGGAAGCGGTCCCAGCTGTCTTTGGACAGGCAGCTGCAGAGCCGATGCACGCCACACGGTGGCAGGCTCTGCCTGGAAAAGGCGCCCTTGACTGGCCGTCGCCCGCCTCCCGGCTCAGAGCCATGGCTGCACGGGAATTTGTTCCCGGACAAACCTAACTTGTATAGATTGCTTCTGTTAATAGATCAGAAGAATGAATGCTCGGGATACATTCCTGGTGATGTTTATGGCCTTTTTCTACTTAGGAAAAGCAACTAAAGCAAATGAGTTTTTAGCCCTTTCAATGGATCTTTATTATAACAGATGAGGCAAAAATATTGCTAGCATTCTGGGGCGTAGGGGAAAGGGAGGGATGAAGGAAATTGGATATGTATGGATGCAGAAGAGAGAGCGTCCCATGCAATTCCTTCTTCCACTGTGGCGTAGTGAACACCTCAATATTGCCTTGTTTGGCATCATGCAGAAACTTGGGAATAGCTTTTCTGCCCTTCCTTTGTGCTGGTAAAATGATGCCCAGTTTGGGAACCTGCACGGATTCGCTGTCAGTACAGCCCTCCCAGACTCACCATCACAAGCTCATTCCAAATCCTGACACTGCTGCCTTCTTACTAACTGAATGAATGCTCTTAGAAATGACTTCCCAACAAAAATACAGAGGTCTCATATCTGGAAAGAAATAAAAAACTAAAAAGACTCTGGAATCCCTCCTTCTGAATCTTTACTTAAAGCCTAAAGGATAACAGAACATGTAAAAAAAAAATCAAGAAACAAATCAGAAAACACAATATGATGATCGTTGAAGCAATGGTTTGCTGGGCACGCCCTCTATGCCAGACACTTTACTTAAACCACATTTTATTTTTTTGAGGTCTAAGTGGATGTACTTTATTTTTCATGGTACTGACTTGAAATTTCATGCAAATGTGATGAGTGTTCATGTAACAAGCAGCTAACTAACTTGAAAGTAACAAGTGAGCTAGAACTAGACATAGAACTGGGCAGTTAGAACTGGACATGGAACAACAGACTGCTTCCAAATCAGGAAAGGAGTATGTCAAAGCTGTGTATTGTTTATTTAACTTATATGCAGAGTACTTCATGTGAAATCCTGGGCTAGATGAAGCACAAGCTGGAATTAAGATTTCCGGGAGAAATATCAATAACCTCAGATACACAGATGACACCACCCTTATGGCAGAAAGCAAAGAACTAGAGCCTCTTGATGCAAGTGAGAAAGGAGAGTGAAAAAGGTGGCATAAAACTCAACATTCAGAAAATGAAGATCGTGGCATCTGATCCCATCACTTCATGGCAAATAGGTGGGGAAACAATGGAAACAGTGACAGACTTTATTTTGAGGGTCTCCAAAATCACTGCAGATGGTGACTGCAGCCATGAAATTAAAAGACACTTGCTCCTTGGAAAAAAAGCTATGGCCAACCTAGACAGCATATTAAAAAGCAGAGACATTACTCTGCCAACAAAAGTCTTTCTGTTAAGCTATGGTTTTTCAGTAGTCATGTATGGATGTGAGAGTTTGACTATAAAGAAAGCTGAGTGCTGAAGAATTGATGCTTTTGAACTGTGGTGTTGGAGAAGACTCTTGAGAGTCCCTTGGACTGCAAGGAGATCCAACCAGTCCATCCTGAAGGAAATCAGTCCTGAATATTCATTGGAAGGACTGATGCTGGAGCTGAAACTCCAATACTTTGGCCACCTGATACGAAGAACTGACTCATTGGAAAAGACCCTGATTCTGGGAAAGGTTGAAGGCAGGAGGAGAAGGAAAAGACAGAGGATGAGATGGTTGGAAGACATCACTGACTCGATGGACATGAGTTTGAGCTCCAAGAGTCGGTGATGGACAGGGAGGCCTGGCGTGCTGCAGTCCATGGGATTGCAAAGAGTTGGACCCGACTGAGCAACTGAACTGAACTGAACTGAGCAAGTGAGTGGTAACTGTGGGCGGCTTGCTCTTAGCAACAAGTGTGGAGGTAGTGGCAGGAGTCTTTGGAAGTTGCTTCTATTTTATCAGTGAAACAGGATGGGAGAGAAGTGTCTTCTCTGATTGGTCCCCATTATATGATCACCTGATCACAGCTCTGTTCACTGGCCAGACAGGAGTGGCTGTGCTCCTGGGGCTCTGAGCTGCGTGACTCAGAAGTCACAGAGACCCTCTCCGACCAGAGGCAGATACGCCCTAAATCAGGAGTCGCCAGTTTCTTGGGCACAGCCCAGTGCCTCATTTCAGATCAGTGGCAGCATTAGATTAGAAATAAGATGCACAATAAATGCAGTGAGCTTAAATCATCCTGAAACCATCCCTCCCACTCCACTGAAAAATTGTCTTCCGTGAAGTTGGTCTGTGGTACCAAAAAGGTCGGTGACCATAGTCCTAAGTGACACAGGGTCCATCACCCATAAAGGGAGGGAAAACTTGCCTGGAAGCCCATGTCTGGGGCAGGCAGACCAGAGTCTCTGCAGGCATGATAGCCACACTGGGACTGGACTCCTGGCTGGACAGGTGCTGGCTGCCCATTCATTTGGGTATGGCCAAATATCGCTTCTCATAGACTTGCCCTAGCAGCAATTTCTACAGAGTAATACTATCTGGATGCCTCCTTTTCAAGATCTTCTGCCCAAAGACTCAAAAGTACTTCCTTGGATTTCAGATCTGTTACTTTTGAAGCTCAACCTAGAAGGAGTGCTGGGGTTTTAAGGGCAGAGGCAGGCCTGAGGTTTCAGTCTCTGTCTTGTTTGGCCTCTGAAACTGCTGGCATGAGGGAATGAAAGTCTGTCCTCTGCAGGTCCAGAGGGTCCAGGGGAATTGGCCTGAGCTTGCCCGCATCCAGGTAGCCGACTGTGGCTGGAGAAAAGCAGACTCCACAAAGACTGTCCATCTGACATTCTCAACTCCCGACTCTCAATGGGCCTCCAGACATTCACGTTCTGATTGTCCAATGGAGGAGTCCTTTTCCCACTCTCTTACATGTCTAAGAGACTTCTCCCTCTCTCCACGAATCTTCAGCCTTCTCCCCTGTCCTGTTACACTGATAAAATGGAAGCAGCTTCAAAAGTCTCCCACCGCTACATCCACGCTTGTTGCCATGAGCCAGCCGCCCACAGTCCTTTGCTCACTTATCTCCATGGCCCATTCTTTCTCAGTATCCTGGCTCACAACTTCAACACTTCCCTCCCTCTCTCCGTCATTGATTACTCATGCTCTACTTTTCCGGATTATTCCAACTGGCATCTGAGCATGCTCTTGTTTCTCTCATTAAAAAAAAAAAAAGTGTCGCTAAAACAATATTTCTCTTGGCCCCACTTCTTCCACCAGCTTTATCTTCAAATTCTTGCTTCCCTTTGAAGCAAAGCTCCTTGCCTCCCGTTTCCTTGACCCCTGTTCGGTTGGGTTGAGTTGCCTCCCCAGCTCCGCGGAAGCTGCTTTTCTGAAGCCCCATGACCTCCTGGTTGTTAAATCCAGTCCTCGCGCCCCATTTGTGAGACATCAGCCCTTCACTCCCCGCTCCTGGCTGCATGTCTTCCTTTGGGTTGGTTTTCAACAGCACATCCTTTTCTCACTCTTCCCTCTTCTCTGTCTCCTTGGCTGGCTTCTCCCTGGGTGTAGTGTGTGTGTGTGTGTGGGGGGGTAGTTTGTAGACCTCTTTTCTTCTCCAACATGCTCACTCCCACATCAATCTCAGTATGGTGGCTTTAATCACCATATGTATGTGATGACCCCCAGCCAGACCCAACAGCCCCGACAAACGCCAACCCATACATCCAACTCCCTTCCCAACATGTCCATCTGGCAGCCAGTAGGCACCACACACCCTCCATGTAAACGCTGAACTACTGGCTTCTGCTTCAGACTTGTTTCACCAGGGCTCTCTCCTGTCTCCTTATGGCAACTCAACCCTTACAGTCGCTCAGGACCAAAACCTCAGTGTCATTGCCGACTCTTTAATTTCTTTAATCCATCCTGTCTATGAGGGGCCCAACTGACTCGACCTTCAAAAGGCATCTAGAAGTTACCAATTTCTCAGCATCTTCATTGCCACCAGCCTGGCCCAGGCCACGTCATTATCCATCCTTGCTCCTATAGGGCAATGCTTTTTAAAAATCATTACTTAATTAATTTGGCTGCATCAGGCCTTGGCTTGCAGCAGATCTCAGTTGCGTCTTGTGGAATCTTCATTGAGGCATGCTGACTCCCTCGTTGTGGCACATGGAATCATCAGATGCGGCATATAGGTTTAGTGACTCTGCAGCATGTGGGATCTTAGGTCCCCCACCAGGGATCAAACTTGTGTCCCTTGCATTGGAAGGTGGATTCTTAACCACTGGACCAGCAGGAAAGTCAAAGGGCAATGCCTTTTATGTCCTGTCACTTCACAGATCAAAGCCTCTCGAGGGCTCCCCTTGCCCTAGGGTCAACTTCAGACCGTAGTTTCCAAGGCCTGAGCCAGGCCCACTCACCAGCCCTTTTCAAGAAGGGGCCAGTGTCCAGGAAGTGGAGCAGAGTGAGCTCCTGGTGGTTGTAAACATCCAAGGGGTAAAAAAGAGGCGTGCAGGAAGGTCACAACGAGCAACACTGAGATGCAGTCTGAGACCCAGAATCAAGTAGGCCTCCATGGTATCGTGACTTTCCAGAAATCACATAGAGGATGCAGGACCCACCAATGACCCATAACATAGTGAGCGGGGTTCCGAACCCCTCTCCAGGAATAATAAATACTGTGAGTATATGAACCAGGCCCGACAACACTATGATGTGAGCAGTACTATTACCCCACTGTATGGATGAAGACATGAAGCCCTAAAGATTGATGAAGCTCTGTGTGCTGGCCACACATGCTCAAACCCTGGCGGTTTGCCTGTGGAGCCCATAGAACAGCCGCAGTACGAACATCCCTTGCACAAAGGGGTCTTTCTGACGACAGATGTGGAAGGAGGGTGGCAGGCTACTGGATCAGAGCATAGATCCAGGATCTGCAATGAGTACCAGACGAAGGACTGTCTCATCCTACAGAATCCCTTTCAACAAACCTCCAATCATCCCATAAATGATTATTTACCTTCCACCCTCTAGTGCCAGGCACCCTTCTAGAAACTGCCCACCAA